GAACAAAATTTTGCGAGTAATTTTCTCATAACAGTCACCCTTAAAGGTTTAATGTAATGAGTGTCTAGGTTACTGTTCTAAGAATTCGACTCCTTTTCATTAAAACGGATAATAGTTGCAAAGGCCTCCAGATTTCCCTCCTATATAGGAATGAAGCCTTTATAATACAACAGTATACAGAAAGCCAGTTTCCTCAAAATATAGGAAAGGATACATTCCATTAGAGATTATTATTGCTCTGAAGTGCCCTTCGTACCTAAGAAATGAGATGCAACACTTGGAAAGTCATCATGCAAATAGTGAGGTTGTTCACCTAGAAAGCAGGACAGCAGAAAACAGCTTTCATGGACATCATGGACTCATCTAGTCAGCTGGCCCAGAAATAAGCATTTATTGCAGACAGACAGACTTAGTATTTTAGAGGGAATGTCACAGAAAGGCATCAGGTGCTTACTGTAACAGCTAATTATCTCAGCAGCGGATTCTTACAAATGCCATGAAGTTCTAAGATTCTTCAAGGTGAAGTTTGATGTTGAATGTCCAAGTCAGTGGTTTTTAAACTGGAAACCTGAACTGGATATAAATCAGGATTGTAAACATTGCACTAAAGAGGGGCTGTTAGAAGCTTACAAAGGAACAAAGATGGTTAACATTTTAGATATCGAGCCAAAGTAGCTGAGATGCTAGCCTCAGAGTTAGACCAAAACCTACTATTTCCAGTACATGGTAGACAGAAAAACAACAACAGCAACAACAATCAAGAACCATTGTAGGATCCCATAGCAGCACAGGGAAGGGATTGCACCTTATGTGGCAAGCAGCAAAGGCACCCAGAACGGTGCAGCTACTGTGATATCAGTAGTCTGAGTTCCCAGGAAGAGATACCGGAATGAAGTGGAGCTGAACTTTGGCCAGCAATATTGCCCTTATAATGTGGTTTGCGTTTTCAAGTAAGCAAACAAGAAGTGTTTGTGCCTTTTGAAAAGTTTATGAGAGGAGGGAAATAGATGATCTTAAGAAAAAGTTAATGGAAAACTGTGGTGCTCAAACTCCTTGATAGGCAGGATTTTTCTCCAGTCAGCCAGGCGGTTGAAGTTTTAGGACAAACCTAACAGAGGGCTGCAGCTGAATTTTGGAAGAGTCCAAGCATATGAAACAAAGACATAACCCAATAACAAGCACAAGGCAGCCATACATTTAAGAGAAGCCAAAATAAAGTCAGTGCTAGAGACAAGTTTAGGAAAAATCAAGAAGAACTGCCAGTGTTCAGCTACAGAAGACTCAAGTTTTGGACAGGCCATCTCCCAGCTGGGAAACGGCTATGTTATTTACCTTTCTACTTGGAATTAGTTTGCTAGCTTTCGTTGTTTAAACTGTTTGTCTAACTCTTGGTTATCTCACTGGACCAAAGAAAGCTAAGGTAATATGCTAACTGCTAGTCCCAGTGTCCTGCGCTAGAGAAGACAGGGGTTTCCTCGCTCCTCAGTATGTTTTTACCAGTCTTCCTGGCCTGTTCTTTCTTCTAGGATTTGTCCTTTCCTCTGGCCACTCCTGTCGCTTCTGCAGGCGGAACCCTCTCCTAGACATCCCAAGAACATGCCTGTAATCTATGTGCTAGCCAGCATTAATATTATTAATACTATTAACACTAGATTAATACTAGTCGTGCCAGCATCTGCATCTCCCACCAGACGCTTGATGAAGTTTGTTATTAGTCACTCGTGTTTCCTTACTCCACCGTTTTTTAACTAGCAGCAAACA